CAGTTTTTTATTTATTTTTTTTATTTTTTCAACTTTTCGGTTTTTCAGTGTTCTAATTTTATAATTTTTCTTTTTTCAATGTGGAGTTTTTCAGTTTTTGGATTTTTCAACTTCTCGATTTGCAATTTTTCGGTTTTCAATTTTTCTATTTTCCAATTTGAGATTTTCAACTTTTCAATTTTTCCTTTGTTGTTGTTTCTTCAGTTTTTCGATTTGCAATTTTTTGAGTTTTTAAGTTTCAATTTTCTCACTTTAAAATTTTTCAATTTTTAGATTTTACAATTTTGCGATTTGTGTTTCCTGAGTTTTCAATTTTTAATTTTTCCATATTTAGATTTGCAATTTTTCATTTCGGTTTTTTATATTCTTAATTTTTTCAATTATATGATTTTTCAATGTTTCGATGTTATAATTTTTTATTTTTCAGTTTAAATTTTTTCAGTTATTCGTTTCTTCAATTTTCCGTTTTTAATTTTTTTCAATTTTTCGTGTCTTCTCTTTTTCGATCTGCAATGTTTCTATTTTTAATTTTTTTTTGTTTCTTCAATTTTAGGAGAAGCAGATTTTCAGGTTTTCATTGTTAAACGTTTCAGTTTTTCGATTTTTCAACTTTTTTGTTTTCTTTATTTTTTCAATTATACGATTTTTCAATGTTTCCATGTTATAATTTTTTGTTTCTCTATTTAGAGTTTTTCGGTTTTTCGTTTCTTCAATTTTCCATTTTTTGTTTCTTGAATTTTTAGATTTTGCCCTTGTTTCGGTTTTTTGTTTTCTTTATTTTTCAACTTTTCGGTTTTTCAGTGTTTTCATAATTATTCCTTTTTCAATGCGGAATTTTTCAGTTTTTGAATTCTTCAATTTTTCGATTTTCCAATTTTCATTTTTTTTTATTTCTTCAATTTTACGACATACAGATTTTCGAGTTTTTCAGTTTTTCGATTTTCCAACTTTTAAATGTTTCAATATTTAGATTTTGTATATTTCAATTTGAATTTCATCAGTTTTTAGTTTTCAATTTTTCGATTTGCAGGTTTTCGTTTCTGTGTTTTATTTTCTTAATATTTTCAATTTTTCGGGTTTTCGATTTATAATTTTTCAGTTTTTAAGTTTTTGATTTTCTAATTCTAGATTTTTTCATTTTAGGTTCTTTCAATTTTAGATTTTTCAGTTTCTCAATTTTTCAATTGTTGATTTGCAATTTTTCTAGTTTTCATTTTAAATATGTAATTGTCACTACAATTTTAAAACATTTTCACAATTCTATGATTTTATAATTTATCCATATTTCAATTATTAATTAGATTTTAAAACTTTTTCATTTATTTTATTTTTTAATTTTTCTTTGTTAATTTTTCAATTTTTCGATATTTAATTGATCAATTTTTAATCTTTCAATGTTACAGTTTTCGACTTTACAATTTTGACACTTATATAATTTTTGAATCCGATTGGTTTTTTCTTCTTTCTAATTTTTTGATTTTTTTTTTCGATTTTTAAGTATCTCGACTTTTAGTTTTTCAATGTTTCGTTTCGTCAGTTCGATTTGCAAATTTTCGATTTTTCAGTTATTTTATTTTTCAGTTTTTTCAGATCTGTTGGTTCTTTTAACTTTTCGAACCAAAAAAATGGAAACATTCCAAAATTGTAAAATTGAAAAAACGGAAATGAAAAACTAAAAAGTATAAAGTGAAAATTTTGAAAAACACAAAAGTAGAGAATCGGATAATTGAGAAATCCAAAATTGCAACATCGAAAAATTTAAATATTAGAAAATCGAGAAATTGCAAAACCACAGACTGAAAATCTGAATAATTGAAAAATTTTAAAATCCAAAGGAACATTAAAAATTAAACGAAACACTGTGATATAAAACCGAGAAAATGTAAATGAAAAAATCGGGAAAATGACAAATAAAAATCAAGAACTTGAAAAACTGAGGAAACGAAAAATTGAAAAATCGAATAATTAAGAAAATGGGAAATGAAGAATCGAAAAATGAAAAATTATGTCTAATATCTAAAAACTGCAAAATTGAAGAACTGCAAATCGAAAAATTTAAACATTTGGAAGTCAAGAAATTGAAAAACTGGAAAAATGAAATTTTGAAAAATGGAAAGATTATGGACCCGAAAGATTGAAAAATGGAAAAATTGAAAAATTAAAGAAAATGAGGCAAATATTCACATATAACCATATAATTTTGACTTCAAAACTTCCCAGTGCATTACACACTTAAAAATCAGCGTCTATCACTTTTGTACGTTGTTTTTCCCGGCCACAATAGCTCAACTTCCATTCTCTAATTCGGTTCTTTCCCGCACGACCTGAAGAAGCAACGCCACGCCGGTGGCACTCCACATAATAGCATTCTGATTAAATTTCTATGCAACAGCGACCGGTAGAAAGAAGGCATTTACGAGTTATTGTCATAATTTCTAACGTTTATTAACGTCCTAACTCACTTAGTCGGAGTGAGAGTGAAACCTGACCTGGAACGCGACCGAGCAAACGATCAAGAATTAGATGGACACACGCTATTCACCCCACGGGCGCACCCTTACGATGGCCTGCCATAAGACTTAAAATAGCACAGGGCAGCGCAAACCAGAAAACGATGCTTTAAAAACTTGTTTTGATTTTCGGCGATAACAATTGTTAGATGTGTCCACCAGTTCCGGTTCCGCAAATCTCACCCCAACATAACTGATGGATGGAACGAATTAAATGCAGGGATTTCATTCAGAAATATTTGTTTGCCAAGTTATCAAACTCTTTGGCCGTGTTTGGTGAGGATTCGGGCGACGATTTTTCGCGGATTGTTATGCAAAGAGGATCTTTGGTGGTTTGGTGCTTTACAAGGAGAAAAAACAAAAATTACATTCATAAAAAATCAAATTTTGACACTGTTCTCCAATCAGTTAATCATCAAAACAGTTAAGAGTTGGTGTCACAAAAAATTTAAACAAACAATAAGCCGTTTAGTATTTAATTTATATATTAAATATCTTTATTAATACATTTTTAAAGTGTATAATGTATTACATATTCTAATAACCCAAAGGACAATGCAATTACATAAGTTTATTTATTTTTTATTATTTTTTTTTTTAATATGGATACATTATGACGATTATAAGCAGTGCTAGATATAAAATTGATTACACAAGCTGATCCAAAAATTCACGAATAAGCTCGATGGTACGTTGATTTTATGATCACTCTATGTACATACAGATATCAGTTATTTTATTCTAAAATTTAGATAAGATTATGAAATACTAATGTTAGCATATCGACTATTTGTTTTTGTGTTAACATTATATGGTAATAAACTCAATTTATGTGAAATGAAGCTTACCGAGGCGAAGTCGAGGGTTATCACAAAATTTTACAGTTCTTTTTTTGAAACCAATTAGATTTTTGTGTCATCTGATCTGAACTTTATGGCTTCTGTCTTTCACAGTTATCAAATTATTTTTATTTTATGGAGTTCAACTTATGAGAAATAAAGCTCCTAATTTTTTTTTAATTTTTAAGATTCAATTATTGCTAAGTTTAATATACTAATATATGTAATAACTTCTGAGAAATGAAGCTGCTAATTTCCTATAAATTGTTTTTCTTATTTTTCTCATTTATTTGTAATCTGTGGAAAATTGTGTATACAACAGAAATTTAAGTTTGTTTTTTCCATTTTTCTCAATTCCTTATATATGTTAAAAAATATTAGAGTTGTAATTCTTATTGGACAAATTATCTATAAGATTCAATTATTACTAAATTTAATAAACTCAGCTTGTGAGAAACCGGGCTGCTAATCTCCCGAGGCGAAGACGAGGGTTATTATAAAAACTTCAAGAATTAACTTCGCGTTCTTCAGTAATTTCCCATCGGTAGGGGAGACCGGGGCTAGTTGGCTACAGGGGTAAGTTGACTCGGTGGCAATAATTAAAAAACATCGTAACAGAATTCTTTTAAAATTGCACTGTGTCATGCTGACATCTGCTTCCAACTGTATAAAACTCTATAGCATCGTAGAGTCGGTAAGTTAGAAAACACAGCAACTTCTTTGTGTTTGTAGTCAGTGAGTAAATTTCGTCTTCCTTAGAAAAGTTGCTAAATTTTAAGATCTAACGGTATTTGTTTAAATAATTTTAATCAGGTAAGTAGTTCAAAGTGTTCTCAATGTGATACATTGATACAGTATGCAATAATTTTTCAATTGTTGCTGTAAATTAGTCTTCAATGTAGTAAATACTCCAGGGGTTAGTTGGCTAAGTCATTAAGGGGCTAGTTGACTCATTGAGCCAAGTTACCCCAGGAGGTTTAAAACATAGTCAGGTTTAAAAAACCTTGTTGAAGTGAACATCTTTGATTGGCAGACATGCGTAACTACAAAAGAAAGACACAACGAGCAAATGTTCCACCGGATATTGTAGCACAAGCCGTAAAAATAATCAAAAATGAGAAACGATCAATTAGAAGTGTAGCAAAAGACTTTGATATTCCTCCTAGAACATTAATAAGGTACTGCAAACAAGCCACACTAGGTCACGTTCTTCAGCCTGGTTATAAAAAAGTTAGACAGGTAAGAAATTTTTTAAACACCTAGGTAGGCATATACATACATACATACCTACCCACTCTTCTGCTTCTACAGGTGTTCAGTTTAGAACAAGAAAATAACTTGAAAAAATACTTGCAAAAAGCGTCGGATATTTATTATGGACTCACTCCAAAAGAAGTTCCGACAGTTTGCCTTCCAATATGCAACTGCGTTAAAAATAAAAATACCTGAATCTTGGAAAACAAATAAATTAGCAGGAGAAGACTGGCTCTCCGGGTATTTGAAAAGAAATGTGGAGCTTAGCATAAGAAAACCAGAGGCTACCAGCTTGGCAAGAGCTTCAAATTTTAATAGAACAAATGTTAACCGATTTTTCGAAAATTTAAAGACAGTGCTAGATCGTCTTAAGCTTGAGTCCGGGGATATATGGAACATGGACGAGACGGGAATAACGACTGTGCAAAAACCGGACAGAGTGATTGGCCGGCGTGGGTATAAACAAATTGGAAAGATTGTCTCGGCTGAACGAGGAACGTTAGTGACATTGGCTTTAGCAGTTTCCGCTACGGGAAATTCTATTCCACCTTTTTTTATTTTCCCTCGAGTACACTTTAGAGATCACTTTTTAAGAAATGCACCACCAAGCAGTGCAGGAAGTGCAAATCCGTCAGGCTGGATGAACGCCGAACATTTTTTTGCTTTTGTTAAACATTTTGTTAAACATTCAAAAACATCTAGGGAAAGGCCTTCCCTGCTTATACTGGATAACCACGACTCACATCTGTCCATAGATGCTTTAAATTATTGCAAAGAAAATGGAGTCACGGTTTTATCCTTTCCACCTCACTGTAGCCATAAACTACAACCATTAGACAGAAGTGTTTATGGGCCGTTAAAGAAATATGTGAATTCTTCTTGCGATGCATGGATGACCAATCACCCTGGCCATACGATGACTATTTATGACATTCCTGAAATTGTAAACTCTTGTTTGCCTCTTGCTGCTTCTCCTGCTAACATAAAAGCCGGATTTGCAGTAACAGGAATTTTTCCATATAATGCGCATATGTTTCAAGATGAAGAGTATATGCCTGGATATGTCACAGACAGACCGAACCCAGAAAATGTTCAAGATGTTCCAGCTAACGTGACCATTGAAGAAGATCCAGCTGAAATAAACTTTAGCGAGCCACAACCTGGTCCCTCATCTCGCAGATCTCCATCGAATACCCCCCCACCTCCTACACCAGAAAATATACGACCGCTACCAAAAGCAGCACCAGAAAAGCTAAAAAGTACTAGCAGAAAAAGACGAGTAACAGCCATATTAACAGATACGCCAATTAAAGACACATTAGAAGAAGAGCAGAAAAACAAAAGGAAAAAAAAAACAATAGTGGAGCCAAAGAAAAAGGAATAAAGAGAAATGTCTTTCAAAAAAAAAAAAAAAAAAATGAAAAGCGTTAACACTAATAAGCATATAGTTGCTGACGAGGAAACTGATTCCGATGAAGAAGATACTTTCTGTCTTGTATGTTTAGATAGGTTTTCTAACAGCGCTTCAAAAGAGAAATGGATCCAGTGTACTGAATGCCATATGTGGGCTCATGAAAAGTGCACCGATGGTGATAATCATTATGTGTGCCATAATTGCACATCTGACGAAGATTGACATTTTCAGTCAGTAAATTAGAAAAAATTTTGTGTTTTGCTGTTTTTGCTTTTTTTACCAAAGAATAAACCTTGGTTTTTGTTTTATCTATTAATAAATTTTCTGTGACTTAATTATCTATCAATTTAGTCATATGCCAACATGCCTCTTAACATGCGCCTACTTGCCCCGACAATGGGGTAATTTGGGGCAATTGCAAGGCGTTTTAAAAAAAATCAAAACAAATTTTTACATAAATGTAGACGTGGTTTAGCAGTGTCTAAATGTTGCTGGATCTTCCACCTTTCTTCTAACACTGATAAACCTTCCATAAACGGTTTCAAAACGGAAATAAAAGATCTAAAGTAAAAAGTGCGCCAACTAGCCCCGGTCTCCCCTACGTTTTTTCCGCGTCTTAATTAAAGACACCTTTAAGCGTTTGTTTTTCTTTTTTCTTTGAAGTGATATCGTAAAATTATCTTTCGTATTTTTCAAAATTGTTAACATTATTTTTTCCGTTTTTCTCAATTACTTCAATAATAATTCCTGAAAAACACCTTCATTTTTGAAATATTGGACAATTCTCTATAAGATTCAATTATAACTCAGCTTGTGAGAAACTCAACTGCTAATCTCCCGAGGCGAAACCGAGGGTTATTATAAAAAGCTGAAGAATGAAATTCTTGATTCTTTCGAGTTCTTCAGTGATTTCTCATCGGTACGTCTTTATATCGCGCCTTAATTACAGACGTATTTAAGAATTTGTTTTTTTTTTCGTTTAGTTGAAGTGAAATCGTAAAATTATCTTTTCTAGTTATCTCTCGTATTTAAAAAAAAATTAAAAAATCGCCAGTCGAAAAATTGAAGAAAGAAAAAACCAAACAAATTTAAATAGAGAAACAAAAAATTATAACATGGAAACATTGAAAAATCGTATAATTGAAAAAATAAAGAAAACAAAAAAATTGAAAAATCGAAAAACTGAAACGTTTAACAATGAAAACCCGAAAATCTGCTTGTCCTAAAATTGAAGAAACAAAAAAATGAAAAATAGAAAAATTGCAGATGGAAAAATTGAAAAAAATGAAATTAGAAGAACAAAAATTTATAAAATCGGAACATTAAAAATCGAAAATTTGTAAAAATAAAGATAATAAAAAACCTAAACGAAACATTCCAATTCAAAAATTTGAAGAAATGAAAATTAAAGAATCGAAAAATGAATAATTAAAAATTGAAAACTCGAAAACTTTTAAATCGAAAAAACTGCAAAATCCGAAATGTGAAGAAGCAAAAAAATTAAAATTTAAAAAATCACCAAACGAAAAATTGAAGAAACGAATAACTGAAAAAATTTAAATTGAAAAATAAAAAATTATAATATCGAAACATTGAAAAATCGTATAACTGAAAAATAAAGAATATAAAAAACCGAAACGAAAAATTGCAAATCGAAATATGGAAAAATTAAAGTGACAAAATTGAAACTTAAAAACTCAAAAAATTGCAAATCGAAAAACTGGAGAAACAAGAAAAAAAGGAAAAACTGAAAAGTTGAAAAATCTAAAATTGGAAAATAAAAAAATTGAAAACCGAAAAATTGCAAACCGAAAAGTTGAAAAACCAAAAACTGTAAAATTATTTTTCCAGTTATCTTCCGTAATTTTCAAAATTTGTAACCTTATTTTTTTCGTTTTTGTTAATTTTTTCAAGACTATTTCCTGAAAAGTCCCCCAATTTTTCTTATCTTGGACAAATTCTCTACTAGATTCAACTATTATTAAGATTAATAAACAATTTAACTTGTGAGAAAGGAAGCTGCTAATCTCCCCGAGAAGAAGCCGAGAGTTACTATTAAAAAAATGTGTATATTTTTTTCATTGATTTGAAATCTGTGGAAGCTGGTATATACGACAGAATTTTTTCGATTCGAATAACATTATCCTTAGTTTATTTTTCATTTGACGTTTATTTTTCCATTTTTCTCAATTCCCAAGTTCTAAAATTTATGAGGTTTGTAATCTTGGATAAATTCTCTGAAATATTCAATTATTACTAAGTTTAAAAAATTCAGCCTGTGAGAAACGGAGCTACTAATCTCCCCGAGGCGGAACCGAGGGTTATTATAATTTTTTTTTGTTGTTTTTCTCATTTATTCGTAACCTGTGGAAAACTGTGAACACAAAAGAATTTTTCCAACCTGAAAAGCAGTAACTTTAGTCTTCTAAAAATAAAGATAATAAAAAACCTAAACGAAAAATTTCAAATCAAAAATTTGAAGAAATGAAAATTAAAGAATCGAAAAATGAATAATTAAAAATTGAAAACTCGAAATCTTAAATTGAAAAATAAAAAATTATAATATCGAAACATTGAAAATTCGTATAATTGAAAAATAAAGAATATAAAAAACCGAAACGAAAAATTCCAAATCAAAAATTTGAAGAAATGAAAATTAAATTAAAAATTTAAAAGTGAGAAAATTGAAACTTGAAACTCAAAAAATCGCAAATCGAAAAACTGAAGAAACAACAAAAAAGGAAAAATTGAAAAGTTGAAAAATCTAAAATTGGAAAATAAAAAAATTGAAAACCGAAAAATTGCAAATCGAAAAGTTGAAAATTCCAAAAACTGAAAAACTACATTGAAAAAAGAAAAATTATAAAATTAGAACACTGAAACACCAAAAAGTGGAAAAAATAAAAAAATAAATAAAAAACTGAAATTTACTTCGTGATTCTTTCGAGTTTTTCAATAAATTCTCATTGGTACCTTGTTTTATTTAATTAGAGACGTATTTAAGAATTTATTTTTATCGTTTACTTGAAGTGATATCGTAAAATTATGTTTCCAGGTATCTTTCATATTTTAAAAAGTTTTTAACATTGTTTTTTCCGTTTTTCTCAATTCCTTCAAGATTAATTCCTAAAAAACCTCTTCAGATTTGCAATCTTGGTTTTTCTTATTGATTTGTAATTTTGAACTTTATATTCCATTTTTCTCAATTCCCAAGTTCTAAAAAAATTTCAGATTTGTAATCTTGGTCAAATTTTCTGGAAAATTGAATTATTATTACGTTTAATAAACTCAGCTTGTGAGAAATTCAGTTGCTAATCCCCCGAGGCGAAGTCGAGGGTTATTATAAAAAGTTGAATTCTTTCGAGTTCTTCAGTGATTTCTCGTCGGTACGTTTTTATACCGTGGCTTAATTAGAAAAACGTATTTAAGAATTTATTTTTCTCTTTTACTTGAAGTGTTATCGTAAAATTATCTTGTCTAGTTATTTTTTGTATTTTTCAAAATGTTTAACTTTATTTTTTGCGTTTTTTTTTTATCCCTTTAAAATGAGTTTCAGAAAAATCTCTTCAGATTTGTAATCTTGGACAATTCTCTTTAAAATTCAATTATAACTAAGATTAATAAACCTAACTTACGAGAAACGAAGCTGCTAATCTCCCCGAGGCGAAGCCGAGGGTTACTATAAAATTTATTTTTTATTTTTTTTATTGATTTGTAATCTGTGGAAACTTGTATATACAACAGAATCTGTTCGGTCCGAATATCATTATCGTTATAATTTTATTAAAAATTTTGAACTTTATATTCCATTTTTCTCAATTTCCAAGTTCTAAAAAAATATTATATTTGTAATCTTAGTCAAATTCTCTGGAAAATTCAATTATTATTACGTTTAATAAACTCAGCTTGTGAGAAATTCAGTTGCTAATCCCCCGAGGCGAAGTCGAGGGTTATTATAAAAAGTTGAATTATTTCGAGTTCTTCAGTGATTTCTCATCAGTACGTTTTTATATCGTGGCTTAATTAGAGAGACGTTTTTAAGAATTTAGTTTTCTCTTTTACTTGTAGTGATATCGTAAAATTATCTTCTCTAGTTATTTTTCGTATATTTCAAAATGTTTAACTTTATTTTTTGCGTTTTTTACTTCCCGAGCGTAAGCAAAGGAAGTATTGTAATCGAGTCCGTCGGCCGACTCTCTACTTTTACGTTGTCTCGATCTTTCATGACCCCTAGAAGACGAAGAAATAGGTCTCCCATTTCCGTCTGTCTGTCCGTCTGTCCGTCTGTCCGTCTGTCCGTCTGTCCGTCCGTCTGTCCGTCTGTCCGTCTGTCCGTCTGTCCGTCTGTCCGTCTGTTGTCACGGATTTTTATTAGACAGATAATCTCCGAAAGTACTCGACCGATTGTTGTGAAATTTTGTACTTATATTAAGAATATCATGTAGATGGTAAAACGCTAACCAAAATTTGTCGAATCATCCCCACCACTAAAGCGATGACGTCACTTCAAAATTGTACATAGTAAATGGGTTTTCAATTGTATAAAATAACATAGTCCTACACATGTAGTTTACAACTCTGAATCGACTTTTCACCCGAAACGTCCAGATTTTTGGAAAAAAAATCAAAATTATAAAACAACATTTTGAAATTTAATTTTTAATCTGCTAACCAGAATGCTTTGAAATGTTGCAGATGTTTTAAGGCTATAAAGAGAATCATAAATCTTTAGTCAAAAAATATTTGCTTATCCCCTCCAAAAACTTGATGACGTCAGCTCAAAAGTTTGTGGAATAAATCATATCTAAAATGTACAAAATATGATGAGTCTGTACTTGTGAACTACCACTCCATTAATATTTTTTGGATTTGCGTATACAGGGTGACTCAAAAAAATTAATGAATGCGTAAATATATTTTATTGATTTAATCAGGAACTACAAAACCGAATGCTCTGAAATCTTGCAGAT